AAAATAAATCACTTTTACTGCTATAAATTTGACAAAAAAGATAACTAAAAAAGATTAAAAGATCACAAGAAGTATGTAATAACCCTATGTGCTGAACACTTAGAAGACAGAAAAATTTTCCTGTGAAACTACAAATAAGGCGACAGTATGTTTCTGCTTAAATCTTTGCAGTATCAAAAATGATGTAATGCCACAACATCTATGGCAGATTTTAAGCACAGAAAAAGTCACAAAAACTAGAGTCGCAGCTCCCAGAGCAACCATAAATCTCTCCCAATATACAAATGCATTTTAAATCTTTTTTAGTGATTCTCACCAAGGATGCCATGGACCCTAGGGAAACATGAGATGCTTTTAAGGATACCACAGGGTACCATGCAGCATTAGCACTATTACATATGCAAACATCTACACAACTCTCAGCACAAACCCAGAGGTTTTATATATGAATCCAGTGTCAAAAACAAGATAACCCATTGTGGTCTTTCTGAGTTCTTTGCAACAGAAGAATTGTTTGATTAATTTTCTGTACTCAAGAAACAAGCGAAACCAAAGAACTGGCATTTTCTGAGGGGTGCCCTGAGTCTAAAAAAGGTTGCAAAAAACTAGCTGATATAAACTGTTCTGCCTTAAGAGAAGCCATGAGTTAGGCATTTTGTGGACAGCCTGAATTTTCAAATTTATGTGGATTTAATATTCCATCAGAATTTTGTATTAACATAGTTTTTTGCATTTGTTGTATATTCCAAAAGCATAATAATTGTATTATTATTCTTAGATTTTAAAAAATTGCATTAAGAACTTTAAAAAGATGACTGAAAATAGATTATAAATTAGAATAAGAGCTTTTGTATTCATCAAAGAGCTCTTGTAGTCATATACAAACATAAATTATATTATAGATGGAAGAAATTCAGTTAAACTTACCAAAAAAAAACTAAGCAAAAATTGAAGAACGTAACAGTTTCAGGGTCACACACACCTCTCTGCTCAGCAGTGACATCATACAGTAGAAACCTAATTATAAGACACACTTAATATTTTGACCCTTAGATTAGATGATTAGATTAAAATGACTTTAAAAGATAGCGGCTATTTTTTGCAACACACAGGACAAATTAAAGTTAATTTCCGTGCTCTAAATTGTACATTTCCATACCTTAACATTTTTTACTACTTTTAAATTTATCCTTACCACTGAATTAATCTGGGTTTGTAATACTTATTTTGGAGACAGCTATAGTAATTCTGCAATATATTTTACTTTAAATTACTGCTAAAACAGAAATAGGGTTTGAGAGTAGTTCTAAGAGTTTTGTCTAGTTATATCTTTTTCATTAAAAACTTTACATATGAACACGAAAGAATCATGAAAAAATGTTGCAATGTGGTATTTTTCATTATTTGAAAATATGGAGCCATTGGCCTTAATCAGTTGTGCAGTCGACAGTGTCTAAAAATGAATATTTAGGATTAATATGGGGACTTATTTGTCATAATCAATCTTTTGTCAGCATAGGCCAGTGCATAATATCTTTTTCTCCAAAGAACTGTAGTTTTTCACAATGGCTGCCATCTACCATATGCTCCACAGACCTGAGGCCACAGGCAGTTCTCAAAGTTCAAGATGCCCACTGTCCTCCATACTTTCCAAGAGGTGTGAAGGTAGAATGCCTTAAGAAAGGGGTATCAAACTCATCTGGCCCCATGGGCCTGAAGAATGCCACAGGTCTGACCTGTAGGACTGAATCCAGAGTGTGAAGCCCTCTTATCTGGCCCCTGGGGCTGCTCCTGAAGCTAGAAATTTAGTTGCAGCACTGTTAATTGTCATGGCTCCCAGAGCCACAGCAGCTAATGCTTCTCCTGCCACCAAATTTCTGATCTGTGAGCAGCCCCGCAGAGCAAATGACATGGTTCTGTGCCGCACATTGGATCTGTAGGGCTGCCTACCAGTCCAGAAATTTAGCAAGAGGACAAGTGGTGACAGAGGTGATTGCTGCAGCTCTAATTTGTAAAGGTGCCACTGCTCACCCCCTGCCCCCTCCAAATTTCCAGACCCGTGAGGAGCCCCGCAGGCCAGATGACAGCTCCTCGAGCCAAATTCCACCTGTGGACCATGTCTTTGACACTCCTATCCTAAGATGAAGACCATTTGTGCTGTCAGAAGATAAACAATACACTGTGAGGAGCATGTGAATAGGGAGACAGTGGTCATCTTTGCTAAGGGCAACTTGTAGTCTCAGCTGCAGTTAAAGAAATAGAAACAGACATTTTGAAAGAGGACAATTATTCATAGAATTCCCTGAAGATTATTCTTCAGCTTCTTTAGTAGCTTATGCATACAGTTTTTGGGATTTTAGCTATATGGTAGGTCTTCACTATTCTGTTGTCATGACCATTAGTGGGGAAAAAAAGTCTGAGGATAATGGAATCCTTAGAAGATCCAGTTCTGAATGAATCTTTATCTGAAATTCTCAGTCTATTCAGACATTACATGATATAAATTTGGGGAGGATATAGTGTATTTTTCTTGCACAAAAAGCAGCAGAATCCCTACTTTCAAATAACAAATTCAATTCAAGTTTAACTGTGGAGCCACAACTGGAAGCCCTAACAACAGGCTGTAAACTTGGCTAAACTGTACACCTCACTCTTCTTTATAATGATGTTCTTTGCAAGTATGAAGCAATCTATCAGAGCTTTTTCAGTGTAGTTCTCTACAGACACTTAATTTTATTTTCATGTTATTTTTTGAACCATAAAATGTTTGTCTATATTTACATTTCTTTTCTATTTTTTTTTTTTTTTACTTATGATACCTGAATTCATTTTAGATCTATTGCCTGAAGACAGGCACTTTTGTTTTTTTTGGAAATTAAAAAAATCATCCTAGCATTTGTAATAAATGCTAATTTAAAGTAATTCTCCTCCAGTTGTAGCTTAACAGTGTCAAGGTATATCAAATTTTCAGCCTTTGTACATTAGATTATTGGAACCATAAAATGAAGACAGCATACAAGCTTAAAACTTTTAGATGACTGTTTCTTGTGTAACAAGATAAGATGGAGAAATATTTTTGCAAATAAATGTCCACAGAGACATTTTTATGACACTACTGCAATGGTGAAGAGCTTTGGGGTTTTTGCACAAAGTCCATTTGAAACTGGTGAAAGATCCTGTATTCCAATACAGGAGTTTGGAATCCGAAAGGAGAGAACAGGTATTCTACTGGCATCAGGAGTGTGTTACCCCCCAGCTGTTTTCTTTAGGAACCACGTACTAGAACAGCAAGCCTAGCCTTTCCCTTCTGCTGATACTCCCAACAAGCATAGCTGGTTGATTCCAAATGCGATGTAAGCACCTATCTGCTAAAAAATGGACAGAGATGGTCAACTAGCTTCATCCATTAGACTTCTAATGAATGGCAATGTGGTCTGAATTTATATAACTGAACCCAGAGATAGAGTCCTGTACCTTATTTCTTTCCTCTCCTCTCGTTCAAAAATTTTATTTAAATAAATAAAACTGTTGTCTTTTTGCATTAAGACCCTCTTTTCTTCAACCGTCTTTTGGTTAAGCTAGGTAAAACATATCTCTTCATGGATTCCAATATTAATTTTCACATTTTTACATCTATTTCTTTTTTCATGGTCAACTATCCCACCCACTATGTGTAAGTGTTGCTTTTCTGTGAGGAGTGTGTAAATGTATCTTTATGTATCCATTGACGCTTCAAGCAAATCCCAGGACGTCTTCTCCCCTTGTACTTGGCCTTGGTGAGGCCGCAGCTGGAGTACTGGATGACATGGGGCTGCAGACTGGACATTGCCCACAGGCCAGGGGTTAAACACCCCTGGTACAAGTCAATGAGGTGTAAATACTAGTATTTTTCTTTAAGGACTACTGCTGAAAAATATTACACCAAGACTGGAAACACGAACATTTAAAAGGGAATGATTTCGCAGTGGTCAGCTGTTATTATTTCAAAACAAAACTAATGAATATAACTTATTTATTATTCCCCTTGCAGTCATCCCAGGAAGCTTCCTCAGGAACTGCAACTCCGTTGTGCTAAAGCATACTGAAAATCCATGCTGCAAAGAGCTTTCAATCTAACTAAATATAGCAAAGTTTGGGGGTTTTTTCATAAAGGGAACAGTAGGCCTCACTGTCATCTGTGGAGTGGGGAGAGGAGAGAGCTAACCCCAAGAAACTTGGCATTTTGTGTTCAATCCATTTTAAAGCATAAAAATTAAAACAGAGCTCCAAATACCCTGCTGATTAATTGATTTAAGTCTTTATGAAGTTACTTCACAATAAATTAATTTATGAGACTATATATATCTTACATAGAAAAAAGTCTTAATATGGGCTCGCTCTATATTGCTAATAAAATCATTGCTAGCTGTATCAGGGCTACTGATTAGTCAAGTTACAATTACAGAAGTGCTACTGTCATGTACAATGTAACAGATTAAGCTTAAAATCAAGAAGACCCTGCGTTGTCTGAAAAAATGTTGATGTTTTCTGAGAAGAAAAAAGAGAGAGTGTATGCAAGAGTGAACTCCCTCAAAGAAGGGAGGGGGTGGGAATTCCTTTCCAAACACATTCAATATAAATAAGATACAAAAGGTAGGATAAATTACTCAAAAACATTCAATGAATCAGTCTCTGCCACCTTATTACGAAACCCTGATTTTCACAAATGGATAAAATAATCTTCAGAATGGTGGGAAAAGGTTCACAAGCAGCATCTGCCAGGGCAGATATCATTCAGAAAGGGCCACTGAGTTAACATTTACACAGCAAAGAATCCGTGTATTTGTAGCTGGCTCATGAAAATGGAAAGTCTGCAGTCACAACTTTAAGCAGCAAATACTTGAGTGTATCTGGTTTAAAACATATTTCTATTAGCATAACAAATAGACACAGTCTCTTGCATATGAACCACAACTATAAAAGAATTCTTCTCATATTTGTATGCAAAAAGGCCAACTTACCTCACAGTAAAATCATAGGAGCAGGAGGCCAATAAAGTTGAATGAAATGGTGAAAACTGAAAGAAATAAAAAGCAAAAGACCTTAGAAACATATGTACAGGACTTGTAGAAATAAAAAACCTTATATCTTCAGACTGCTATAATAAGTACCACATTCACATTCCAAAAAATGAGTTGTTTAACTGAGCAACCTTAGCATTATACCTTAAACAATGTAAAAGCAGCTAAATGATTCTGGTTGCATTATATATATTCTAGCTGTGCCTACCAGCATTACTATAAACTAAGATTGCACTGGGTTTCCATTATGTTTTGCTTTTGGAGTAGTCATGTAGAATGACACTTTAAGTCTACTTTGGAGTGACACCTTGAATATCTTCTCAGTGTAGAAAAAAGTTTTAACTGTGTTATGTGACCATGTTGTTTTTACACATAAAGACATCCCAAAATGTGCCATACTGCAGAGGATGTACACAATATATTTTTTGGCATCCAGTCCACATTTTGCCTGAAATTCTGTTATTAAAATCAGAATGAAATCTGAAAAGTGACAGCTATACAACAGTCTCGTATTTTTTACTGCACAATGCAGGGTATACCATGGGATAAATTCTACCAGGGACTACACAGTTAGCACATTCAAGATCTGCACCAAAGAGGAAAGCAACAGGGTAGGAATTGCTTATCTCACCTCTGGCTCTTGAACAATTTCCTACATTTTTTACCTATTTGAATGCGAAATTTCTTGACAGACAACATAAACGAGTCATCAATATGTCCACTAGCGTAACCTAACCTTAAACATTCTTCACATAGGAGTTTCTCTTTTCTTTTTATGAGCTTAGATCTATCAGAAAGGAGACTCGAGAACAGAAAATGAGGAAGGAAGATGTAGGGGAGTGCTGAGAGAAAGAAGCAGTAAGTAGTAAGTCCCCCTGGTCTGCTAACCACAACACCCATCCTAACTACAACCTTACCTACAGCTGAGTGAGAATCATGAGGTATCAGACTTCCCCAGATTCTCTACAAAAAATGATCTACAGATGTGCTCCAAGTTCAGGGCTCCCTTCCTGCAGCAAATAGGTGGTCAGCAAGGACTGGGGCTTCCTTTCAGTCAGCCTTGCCACGTCTGCACAACTGGGGCACAATCCAAAACAAGGCAGGTCAATGTCAGAGGACATTATCACAACACAACTGACTATCACCGAGCCCCATACAGGGATGTCGAGTTACTGATAAAACTCCCATGAGTTCCTCTCCATGAGTTCTCCCCACCCTTTCCTTTGTGAGCTCTACGAGACCACCAGGAGAGGAAAAAAGGGGCAATGAAAACAAGGTAAAATCAGCTAACCAGCCTTCTGACAAAGCTGAAATACAGATCTTAAAAAATTAAAACCTACTGGTGTTAATGAAAACTTAGAAGTGGCTGCTAATGAATCTCCAAAGACTTTCAAGATGGGCTGAAAAGAATTCCCAGAGAGCCCTGGAAGCTCTCATTCTGAGGACATCAGAAGGGTCACAAGAAAGGAAGGGAGTCATCATGAATTCCATCTAATCCCACAAAGCTCCTTTTCTGTGGACCTCAGGAGCATGAATGGAAAGATACAGAGGCTTGAAGGGTAGGACAAGCAGATGCTACATTTCTAGCGTGGCCCTCCTGCCTTGGTCATGTACCTCCTGATGAACCAAGACCTGGTCAGAGCTGAGGAGCTCTCATCTCCCAGGTCTTGAGGACCTATAACTACCTTAACTATAGCCTTCTGTCTCCTCCTATCTTGCACAATTTCCTTCCACCTTGTTAATCTTTGCCTATCCCTTCCAGTTCAGTTTTTACATTATCTTCCCATAATTGCCTTGGTGTACTTTGAGGTCCAATACCCTCTACTTCAACTTCCAAAAATCTGCCTTTCATACTGTTTCTTGTCTAGTCTTACAATATGCCCTGCCCATTTCATTCTCTACATTCATATTTTGCTCACAATATCAGTTTTTTTGTAGAGGTCCACAAGTTTTTGATGATATCTTCTCCATACTGTTTTTTGTACTACAGCAAATATTTTCCTTATCACTTTGTTCTCAAACAAGTCGCAGCCTTTTCCTATTTGCTTTTGTCTGCATCCAAGATTCACATTCCTAGAAAAGGTCAGGTTAAATAATTGCATTATAAAGCTGGTGTGCTGGCAGTGTCATGGCTGTGCCAGCTCCCTGAGCTGGTGGAGTTAATGCAGTCATCACTTGCTCTATTGCTGCCAAAATGAGTCCTCAATGGACTTCCAAACATCAGGATTTGGCAGTGGGCCTGCACCCACTTGACCTGCCCCCAAATTCCCAGCCTCTCCAAAAGCCCCTGCAAGCCAAATCACACAGCTTTGTGGGTCAGCCCCTGCTCTAAAGCATTTGCTATTTTCCACTGTCAGAGAAAGGAAACTGGGTTAGACAGACCGTTGGTGGACCCAGTAAGACAGTCTTTATGTTCTTACTTATCAACCAGAAAAACCCAAGTTTAGGCAGCTCTTTTTCCGCTAAAAAACAAGGACAAAATGAGCTTTTTAAAATTTTTACTATCTCTACTATTTGGGTGTTATAATTTCAGTTTTATGAGTTTCATAGATTTTCAAGCCAGAAGACTACCATATCATTTGGTCCTGTGTGATGGAATATTTCATCTACATATCCTCTTGGATCAAACAATTTCAGCCCTCAGTAGACTGAGCTACATATGACAAGCAAAGACATGGAGACACAGATGCCACCTATGCTTGAGACTGCTAAAATGCCAGGAAACTGTTTAAGTGATATGCTCGGATGATCTCAGCAGGTGAACCATGCCTCCTACTGCAAAGGAAAGCACAAAGCAATCACCGTTCCTAACAACAGGACTTGGAAGAAAAGTTTTTCTACACTCCAAACTGGTAACTAGTAAATCCTAAGCACTTAAGAAAGGGAACTTTCTCTACCATCACTGGTCTACCCTGTTGAGTTTTACTTCAAAATTAAATTAATCTAACCTTACAATTCCTGCCATGAGTCTTAAGCCTTGGTCAACAAGGTTGAGAAATCTCCCACTATTTCTTGTTCGAACTTCTGCAGAGTCGCTTGTCAAATACACTTCAACTGCAGAAGCTGGAGAGAAAGATTCTACCTCTGCTCTAGTTCTAACTAGGTTTGTCCAACCGGCAGTGCCTGAGGCATTAAACTGCAGCCCTTGGGCTCTCACCCAGCTGTCACTACTTCCATTGCTACAGAAGCAGCTGAGGGCACTAAGCTCTTTCTCCTTTCAGCTTACCCTTCCCTGCCCCAGTGGGCAGGACAGGGCAGGGCAGTGTAGCACAGGCTGTGGTACTGCAGGAGCCTGTGGCACAGGGCACCTGGGAGGCATGGTGCAGCAGAGAAGCCTTTGCCAGTGAGCTGAGGGTGAGGCAGAGCACCTGGGCACACACTGCAATGGGTGCAAGGGGTGCAGGGGGCACTCAGGTGTGGCAGGCCAGTAAGGGGTGCTCCTGCACTAAGCTACCCACCTCACTGCACCCAACCACCTTCCAGGCTCCAAATGCCTACCTGGGGGCACCTCACGCCTGGCCGACCCCCTTGGAGCACACCTGCTAGTCTGGGGGTAGAGCTGCCATCACCCAGGGATGGGCTTTATCCTGGCTCCACACCCCCTGTGAAACACAGACCTAGTAGCCCTCGAGGGTACTTGACTCACTTCAAGAACTTGGGGTGCTTCCCTCAGTCGGAAGCACAAGTGGTGGTCAGCTGAACCGAGGGGACCCAAGGCATAATCTAGACCCATTCCCAATAAGTCTCCCATGCTAGGTACAAAGGAGAACTTCATTGGTTACAAGGAGTAGGGTTGGAATAGGGTACAGAGTTGAGTAGTAT